ATGATGATGACAATAACAATAACGATGAAAAAATAATAATAATCATAACAATGATATTAACAATAATATAAACGTAAAAAGATTAAAAATAACAGTAACAATACTAATAGAAAATAATAACAATAATAACAACAATAATGATGAAAATAACAATAACAATGAAAACAATGATAATAATCACAACAATGATACTAACAATAATCATAATAAAGATAACAAAGATAAAAAACTAACAGAAACAACAATGATAAAATACAATAACAGCGACAATAACAATAATAATAACGAAAAAAAAAACAATAAACAACAACAAACAACATCAACAATAACAGTAATCAAGAAACCAAAAAAACAAAAACAAAAAACAACAGCAACAGCAATAATAAGAAAATAATAACAACAACAACAACAATAGTAACTAAGACCCCCCCCCAAAAAAAAACAGCAATAATAAAAATAATAACAACAACAACAATATAACTAAGAACCCCCCCCCCAAAAAAAAAAACACATAATAAGAAAATAATAATAAATAACAACAATAACAACAATAACGAGTATTAGGGCCGAGGCAGGATACAGGATGCAGGCTAATAACACGGGTAAACATCCTTCCTTACGTAACCTGTCATCTCTGTAAAGGTCGGGTTCAATTACCTTATTTTCCTACAAAGACAATACAATGAACAAACAATGAACAAAGACAATGAACAAAGAACAATAGAACAAAGACAATGACAAAGACAATGAACAAAGACAATGAACAAAGACAATGAACAAAGACAATGAACAAAGACAATGAACAAAGACAAACACAGATAAAGACAAAGATAATGAACAGAGACGATAAATGACAATAGACACAGACTAATGAACAAAGACAAAGACAAAGATAATGAACAAAGACAAAGATAATGAACAAAGACAATGAACAAAGACAATGAACAAAGACAATAATGAACAAAGACAATAACAAAGACAATGAACACAATGAACAAAGACAATGAACAAAGACAATGAACAAGAATGAACAAAGACAATGAACAAAGAAAAGATGAACAAAGACAATTAAGACAAAGACAAAGACAATGACAAAGACAATGAACAATGAACAAAGACAATGTAATGTACAAAGACAAAGACAATGATAATGTACAAAGACAAAGATAATGAACAAGACATGAATAATAGACAAAGACAATACAAAGACAAAGATAATGAACAGAGACAAAGATAATGGACAAAGGCAAATATAATGAATATAGACAAAGACAATGAACAAAGACAAATATAATGAATAAAGACAAAGATCATGAACAAAGACAATGTACAAAGACAAAGACAATGAACAAAGACAAAGATAATGAACAAAAAAACAATGAACAAAATGAACAAAGACAAAGCAAAAGCAGAACCGGGATGAACGACTAGATAACAACAAAGCAACAATGAACAATAGGAAAATAAGAATGTACGAAGAAAAAAAACAAGAATGAACAATAAAACAACAAAAGAAATAAGAATAAGCAACAAAATAAGAAGAGACAAAGACAAAACAATAAACAAAAAGCATGCACAAACAACAACAAAAATAAAACCAAACCAAAGAACAACAAAACAACAGTAAACAACAATAAACAATAACAAAACAGTAAACAGAAACAACAACAAATAAGAACCAAAATCAACTAAATAACAAAGGTGTGTATACAGAGAAATTAACCTAAGCAGGTTATCATTAATCCCATCGGATGATGATGATGATGATGGTGATGGTGATTGATGGTGTGATAGTGATGATGATGGTGATGAAGATGATGATGGTGATAATGATAATGATGGTGATAATCATGAAGATGATGGTAATGATGATGATGATGGTAGTGATGATGATGATGGCGATGGTGATTATGGTGATGATGATGGTGTTGATCATGATGATGATGGAAGTGATGATGGTGATGGTTATAGTGATGATAATAATGATGATGGTATTGATGATGGTGATGATGATAATGATGGTGATGAAAATGATGATGATTAGGATGATGATGGTGATGATGATGATGGTGATGATGGTAGTGATAAAGATGATGATAAAGATGATGATAATAACAATTATTATTAATATTACTACGAATGATAAAAATGATCATAATGTTAACAATAATGAAATCACTGTTAATAACAAAAATAACAGTAATAGTAATGATAATATGATAAAAAAAAAATCATGATAAATCACCAAACAGAACACGGTTTTCTTTCTTTCTTTCATTTTTCTTGTTTTCTTTCTTTCTCTCTCTTTCTTCTTATTTTCCTTTCTTTCTTTTTTCTTTCTTGCTTTCTCTCTTTTTCTTCTTTCTTTCTTTTTTCTCTTTCTTCTTTCTTCTTTTCTTCTTTTTCTTTTTTTTCTCTTTCTGTCTTCTTTTTCCTTTTTTTTTCTTTCTTTCTTTAAAGGCTTTACAAGATGTCCATTATGGCGCAGATGTAAAGTGCGACGAAAGATGCGAAAACAAGAATGAGATGATGTTAGCGAGATGGGGTGGGGGGTGGGGGGGGGTAGAGGGGAGAGGGGGTCTGGGGGGCTGGGAGAGGAGGGAGAGGGGGAAAAGGGAGGGGAGGGAAGGGAAGGGAAAGGAGGGAGGGAGGGAGGAAGGGTGGATGAAGTGGGAGGGGAAGGAAGAGAGGGGGAAGGGACGGTAGGGAGGGAAGGGAGGGAGGAGGAAAGAAGGGGGATGGGACGGTAGGGAGGGAGGGAGGGGTGGATGATGAGGGAGGGAGAAATCTATCTTGTTTCGGTTGAGAAAGAATGCGTTTTTTATTTTTATTTTTTGTTTTGTTTCTCAGCTTTCTCATTGTCTGTAGGTCTATGCATACACACACACACACACACACACACACACACACACACACACACACACACACACACACGCACGCACACTCAAACACACACAAACACAAACACTCACCCTCACACACATACACAAAAATGCCAAAAAAAAGCAATGGTACTTTGAGTAAGAACTGGCCAAGATGACATTTAAAATGACAACGACAAGAAAGTGTTGATTGTACACATGATGATATGGCGATGATGACAATAACATAAATAGTATCGATATATAAAATGATAATGTTGGTAATTACATTGATTGCGAAAAAGATGATGATAATAATGGCAATAGTGATAGAAATGATAATGATGCTAATGACGATAATAAATGATGCTAGTAATGATAATGATGGTAGTGATGATGATGATAATGAAAATAATAATAACAATGATAATATTAATAATGATAATGATAATAATAATAACAACAACAACAACAACAACAACAATAATAATAATAACAATAATGATAATAATGATAGAAATAATAATAATGATTATCATTATTATAATGGTGATGATAATGATAACAATAATAATGATAATAGTAATGAATACAATAATGAAACAACAACAATAATAGTAAAAGATAATCAATATTAATGACGACAATTATAATGATGATAATGACAATAATAAATAAATGATAATAACATATATAATGTTAATAAAGATAATGTAATGACAATGACAGAAATGGATATAATGATAATGATCATACTCGTACTAATAAAAAGATGATAATCATAATAACAAAGACAACGATAATATTAACATCAGTGAATCAAAATGCTAATAATTATGATGCAAATAATAATAATAATAAACAATAATAATGATGATAATAATAATAATGATAATGAAATAATGATGATAATGATAATAATGATAGTAATATTGATAATATCAACAATAATGATAATATTGTAATGTTGATAATACTAATAAAGATAATAGTAGTAATAATGTAAAAAAAAACAAACAATAATGGTAATTATAATAGTAATAGTTATGATGGTGATAATAGTAACAATAATAATGATTATGGTAACATCAATAATTATTTTAATGATAATAAAGATAAATGGTAAAATGATTACGAATAATGATAGTTATAATGATTAAATATTAATGAAAAAAATGAAAACAATACAATAATGATCATTATAATGATGATAATAACAATAATAACAACAATGATAATAATGATAACTAAAATAATAAAAGTAATGATAATAGTAAGAACAATATTGATAACTATAATAATAATAATAACAATAATGACAATAACAATACCAAGAATAATGACAAAGTAATGACAATAATGAAAAAAACAACATTGATAATGATAGTAAAAGTGATGATCGTAGTAATAATAAAGATAATGATTATAATGATAATGATAAAAGTAATAATAATAAGAGTTGTATTGGTAATAAAATAATAATGATAATAATTTTAAGGATGAAGTAGTAGTAATGATAACGACAATAATAATGATAATGAAAGTAGTAATAATGATAATAATAATAGCAATAAGAATAGATAGATGAATGAATAGATAAATAAATAATGACAGTAGTAGTAGTAATAACAATAATAATAAATTAAATAATGATAATGATAAGGATAATAATAATGATAATAACAATAATGACAATAGTAATGACACCATTCTTATGGATTTTTTTTTAGGAATAAAAACAGTAATAATGACAGTAATTGATAACACTAATACTGATGATGAGAGAGAGAGAGAGAGAGAGAGAGAGAGAGAGAGAGAGAGAGAGAGAGAGAGAGAGAGAGAGAGAGAGAAGACAGAGAGACAGAGAGAGAGAGAGAGAGAGAGAGAGAGAGAGAGAGAGAGAGAGAGAGAGAGAGAGAGAGAGAGAAAGAGAGAAAGAGAAAGGGAAAGAGAAACGAAAACGAAAACGAAAACGAAAAAGAAAAGAAAGAAACAGAAAAAAATAGAAAGAAAGACAGCCAAACAAACAAACAGAGAGAAAAGACACACACAAAAAAAATTGTCCCGTTCCACTATACACTCAACGGACCCCGAGGGTAGCCTGAGTGTGGCCATCACGTACAGTCTGTTAACACAACG